AAAAAAAAATATAAATCTAAATTATCCTTTTTTCCTTCTAGAATGACTTCAAATTGTAACATGAAACTACATTTGTTTATCCTAAATAGCTTAAAACTCATAACAGTATATGTTTTAATACAGTATACTTAAATTTTATTGCCCTTTGAACTATGTCTAACTAATAATTTTGCCACAGAAATTGTAAATCATCAATTAGCAAACATATAGCTTACATCACCCCCTCAAATTACATAATGCACAGGCTACTCACAAACTGCTCATAAGTGTACCCCACGAAAAAGTTTTTTTTTTTACATTTGGCACAGTCTAATCTGAAAAGTTTCTAATCTTTACATTTTAGTTACTTTTATAATAATGAATAAAGAATACACATGAAAAATAAAAAATATAGTACTTATCTTGGTCTCTTTTTTTTTGTTGTTAAATGAAATTTAACCCTACTTTTTTTCATATTAATGGTACTAATGCACTAAATAATTTTTTATTTAAATACGTAATACAACTAAAACACAGAATAATAACAGATAAAAAGTAGACAATGTCCTATAGTAAACTTTTCTGATTTTCTAACTATGTGATATGAGCCACTAAATATTCAGCTAAGAGCCTTATTGTGTTTCCCGTGAGAATAAAGTTTGAAATGGAAAAGAAATAAATAATTCTCTGTACAGAAAACAATATAATATATCAAATGCTATATTAAAACTTTGGCTTTCTATTAGTTATAAATAATAGACTATTAAACATTAAAGATAACTATTGGTAATTTGTGAAGGAGGTGGGTATGGCAAGAGGGGTCCAGATTTCAAGTTTATGACTCTGTAACCAAATAACCTTGAAGGCTATAAAAATTATGCTTTGCCTGAGTAATAACTATTATAATGAGTAATTTATGTTATTCCGTACTTCTCCTCAGAGTACTAGTAAATAAATTAGAAAAGAGGGAAGACTCGAAGAGCAAATGTCACAATTATCATACTAGCAAAAATTGAGGAATTTGTTTTTAAATATTGCTTTATGAAATTAAAAACTAAATTAAGTTATTCTAGAAACAAAAAGAGGGTAACTTAAATTTATTTTGATTTCTTTTGGTGGTTACAAAGTCAGTCAAATTGACCATCCTTGTACAGAGTTAGGGTAGAGAAAATAACATATAAAACAAAGTTTTACTGAAAACAAACATCTAAATTGTATTTATGAGGTTTTAGAGATTACACAAATAAAATTTGAGATTTTTGAGAAGTATTTTTAATCTTAACATGAAAATCACTTTGCACACAGACTATTCAAAACAAATGTTTCTTTTAGTTCATTTAAAATACTTCACTAAAAATATGACTTTTTGTATGTGAAAGACATAATGTTTACTGAAAGACTGCCAAATTTGTGAAGATATACATACTATATTAAAAGTTAGTAGCATCAAATCTATGAAGACTTTACACAAGTACGAAGAGGTCACAGGTCAGTCAAATTGACCGAGCCAACATTGAGAGAGTTAACCCTATGTGCATGTGTGTGGGTAAAAGTGTGCATGTTCTGGCATCAAACGTGGCGTCAAAATGCAGTTTATAACTTAAATGTTAATATTATTTAAATTTTAATTTCTTAATATGAAAAGTAAATGTTTAAATAAATTCTCAATCTTCACTACAATGTGATTTTAAATTTCTTTCTTCCCTTATATTGGTTTCAGAATTCAACCAATTATAAACACCAACTTTAGATACAGACAAGCAAAAATTTAAATTAAGAACCTCCCACTTCCTTTATCTTCTTAGATATTAACAAATTTATTACATTCATCACAGCTCTTCACATATTTAAAATTACTTATATAAACAAGCTTTCTTGTCAGTGGTATACATTTATAACCAATAGAAAGGCTATTTCGAGAACTATGTGATTACAGTGTCTTTATGTTAATTTATTTCAGTAAAATGTGCCATTTTCCAAGCAGATTTTGTTGAGGTAAGATCAAAGTCAGTGCTCTGATATGTAATGGAATTTTTTAAAGGTAAGTTAGAAAGCCATATAAAGTACAGTAAGTTAGAAGCATTCTGTTATACAGTTTGAATTATTGTTTGTGTCTTAAAATGTATATTTGAAAGCTACACGAGTATTTTTGAACAATCATCTTAACGAGAAAAATACAGGGTTAAAGAAGACTGACTACCAAGAGCAAAAGAACCGAAGTTCTAAAATAAATGTTATATTTTGTACTTATGTATATTTTTATTTACTGATATATATATATTTTTTCAACAAAAGTAACTAAAATACACAAATTAAAAAGTTTTCAGGTGAGAAAAAAACAAACTTAAATGCAATATCTTAATATTCACATGTATTGGACATATTCCTAAACCGTACACACATAGTTAAAATGCAAAATATTTGGCAAGAAAACTTACTATTAAATAATCCAGGAACAAGTTTATAGACAATGTCTTGAAGAGTTTGGTCAGGTCTATAAAAACAAAATTAGATGAGAAATGGAAACTAAAAATATATATTCTTCATCCATTACTTAAACTAAGAAGTTATGACAGAAATTTAAACAAGGAAACATATAGTTATTATGCAATGCATTTCTTGAAGAGATTAACATTTACCTTTTTGAAGACACTAGAAGGATGAAGTGACTTAGAAGTTAAGAATATATAATGTTAGTTAATGTAATAAAGCTGAACTAAACTTTTTATCATTAAAGATACTTAAAAATCAAACAAAAAACAAAGCTTTATGAAAGTATTTGCAATGATTTAAATAAGATTCCTTCTAACAGTATTACTGTTTATGATAACAGATCTGAAATTAAGTATATCAATAACCACAGCATGCTTGTGGTTAAGTATGTATATATATATATTACAGCTTACCTGATATTCAACATTGGACGGGTTTTATGAATCAATACATCACATACGGGGCAATACTTGTGTGCTTTTAAATAATTCACAATGCATACCCTGCAAACTGAGGTAAACCAAGAGTAAATAACTGGCAAGTCTCAATAACTACAAGAATAAATTAAAGATATTTTCTCAAAACATCAAAATTTCAGAGGTTATAGTGATCTTCTGAAACGTGAACACAAACCATTACATTACTTACAGGACTGAATTACACATAGTAAAGACCAGTGATTCCCAGCCTTTTTCCAACTGAAGGCTAGGTAGTTTCAGTCCCAAACTTTCAGAGATGTCATAATAAAATATTAGCTTTTTACAGTGCTTTAAATTACATTGTAAAACAATATATTTTGGTAGCCACATTTTAAAACACACATTTTTTCGACACTCTTTTAGACCACAGTTGGAAACCACTAGTCTAAACTATTAACTATGAACATAACACATCACATACAGAATTCGAATTATACTTCATTGCAGATAATTTATCTTCACATTCCACTTAATTACTCTTTCATATTTTGAATCAAGAGATATGTTGAAACACCATTTCAAACAAGTCTTATTTGTTGTAAATCATTCTTCTAGAGACCATTTATTCTATGCCAGAACTCATCAACTGAGTTGGACTTATGGCAGCCAAAAATACATCCAAATTGCTATTTGTATAATGTACAGATAAATTAATGCCATGGTGTCAAATGGTGACAGAGCAATGAGGGTTTTTAGTGCTGTAAAACAACATCCAACTTCTTGTACTAGAAACAAACGAAATATAATTTTCATACAATGAATATGAATCAAAAATATATAAGCACTACCAAAATTCACCTTAATTATTTCAGTCTACAACCAGGTAATAAAATTTTAAATCTATCAAAATTAAAGAAATACTACTTAATTTTTCTGGTTCTTCTGCACAATAAATGTTCACATAAGAGATATTTGTACAACCAATACCCCATGAGCCATATAAACTTTTGACACCATAACTATGATCATTTTAACAGTGTTACTATTACTACTAGATCATGTGTATGGTGTTTTACTTGTCTTATTCACTACAGTGAACCCATATTTATATTGGATTTGAAGAATTTGTAGCAATGATGCTAATAATTTATTATTCTAAATTATTCAGCACACAATAAACTAGTAACAGTAACATTACAACATATTCTTCAGTCCCTAGATAAACATAGGTTCACTGTGGTGAGAAAAGATAACTAAAAACACTCTACATATAATATTCAGCCCATACTACAAGAAGCCTAATCTTGTATAGTTAACTTACCCTTGTCCAGGGTAACAAATGATGAGTAAAATTTCTCAACACCAGTATAACTCAGTTACAAGTGTGAGTGTGGGGGGTGGGGGGCAAATGACAGATTGGGCTTCATATTTACTTATAACTACTAAAGTAAATTCAACTGTTCAAAATATTAAACACATGTTCCTAAAGCTTTTGCAGTGGAGCACACTTTAGCAAAACACAAGTCAATAGAGAGCATCTGAACAAAATATGTTGTATTTGTATATATTTGAACTAGTACATGAAGACAAATTATAAAATCAACAAATACCAAAAGTATGGAGAAAGAAAATTACTTTTCATACTCATTCATAGTACTTCTTCCAAAATTGTTTTGGTAATGTTTTCTGGGACAACATGGGACCTATTGGTCCATCTCGGCTGTTCCATCCTCAAAACTAAGTTCAAATTATTAAAAAAATAAAACTAAACATTTTAAACCTAGCCCTTTTCATTCATATACTTATCAAGCTTTTTCTTAAACTCACTAAATTTACTGCCTCTACAACATCTGAAGGCAACTCATTCCAAAGGCTAA